CTGTAATCCAGCCCATATAGAATTTGGGGGCCCTATGCTTATGGTTAATTTTGAGGTGCTTTTGTTAAAAAAACCTATAGGGTAGTTTTTGGTTAAAATACTTTGGGTCCAAGCTATTTTCAATAAAGCTCCATTTTTTTTAATGATTAGATGCTGCTTTTTTTATTTTGAATAAAGATCTACAACAACAACAACAACAAAGCATTTTCCCACTAAGTGGGGTCGGCTATATGAATCCTAGAATGCCATTGCGCTCGGTTTTGTGTCATGTTCTCTGTTAGATCCAAGTACTCTAAGTCTTTTCTTAGGGTCTCTTCCAAAATTTTCTTAGGTATTCCTCTATCCTTTCGGCCCTAAACCTTTATCCCGTAGTCACATTTTCAAACCGAAGCGTCAGTAGGCCTTCTTTGCACATGTCCAAACCCATTTTGTGTACGTGTTGATGTTTCACCGCCCAACATTCTGTGCCATACAACATCACCGGCCTTATTGTCGTCCTATAAAATTTTCCCTTGAGCTTCAGTGGCCTACGACGGTCACATAACACGCCGAATGCACTCTTCCACTTCATCCATCCAGCTTGTATTCTATGTTTGAGATCTCCATCTAATTCTCCATTCTTTTACAAGATAGATCCTAGGTAGCGAAAACAGTCGCTCTTTAGTATTTCCTGATCTCCAATCCTCACCCCTAACTTATTTTGGCCTCCATTTGCACTGAACTTGCACTCTATATATTCTGTCTTTGATCGGCTTAGGCGAAGACCTTTAGATTCCAACACTTCTTTTCAAAGGTTAAGCTTCGCATTTACCCCTCCTAAGTTACATCTATCAACACTATATCGTTTGCGAAAAGCATACACCAAGGAATATCATTTTGAATATGTCCTGTTAACTCATCCATTACCAACGCAAATCGGTAAGGACCTAAGGATTGTTGATGCACAAAATTAATGACGACTTTGGTACAACAGAAAGTATTAAGTTTGTGATCTTCGCTAGATTGCTCCGGTCATTAGAGTGGATAAGTATGTAAATGGATAAAGACAGGAAAGCAAACACAAGATGTACGTGGTTCACCCAAATTGGCTACGTCCACGAAGTAGAGGAGTTCTCATTAATTGTGAAGGGTTTACACAAGTACATAGGTTCAAGCTCTGCTTTTGTGAGTACAAGTGAATGATTTGGTACAAATGACATTAGGAAATATTGTGGGAGAATGATCTCGTAATCACGAAACTTCTAAGTACCGAAGTGTGGTATCGTCTTCACTTGCCTTATCTGTCTCATAGGTAGATGTGGCATCTTCTCTGGAAGTACTCTTCCTCCATCCAGGGGTGGTATCTTTAATTGGTGAAGATGCACAAGGTAATGTATCAATTTCACTTGAAGCTTACTTGTAGTTTCAGGCTTGGTCAAGCGCGATACAAACCATGTAGTAGGAGTCCCCCAAGTCGCCGAGCTAGGGGATCTGCTGAAAGAGGTGACAGACAAGGTAAGCAATCAGAGTTCCAAGCAATCAGTCCCAGATCAGAAGTTTGATTTCGAGTTCCGGCTGATTGTTTTCATTCTCCCTATCTTGCAGGCAGCATGAAGGATAAAGAGAAGAAAAGGAGAATAGATGATATGAGATACTTTTGCTTTTGAAGAAGTAACTTTCCACAGGCTCATTCTTGAACTGGGCTGGAGGATTTTCTAGTTTCCTCCAGAGTATAAGGCTGACTGAAGAATTTGAGGGTTAAAACAAGTCCATCAAATTTAGAATACGTTCGACTCTGCTGATATGGGATACTTTTGCTATTGACAAAGTAGTGGATGTATCGGCACGTGTTCTGTTACGCTTGTCTCCACATGCTTTCTTGTATCCTTATCATTTTCCTTATTTGTTCCTCAGGCAAATGTGGTATCTTCTCTGTAAGCATGAGATGTTGAAGATGAGTACTCGAGAGCAATGCCAGGTAAGTAATCAGGTAAGGGGTTCCAGGCAGTCAGTTCCTGACTGGAAGCTTGATTCCAAGTGCTGACTGATTGCTCTTTCTCCTTGTCTTGCAGGTAAGAACAAGGCCAAAGGAAAAGATAGGGGAAAAGCATGATATGGGATACTCTTGCTTTTAACCCTGATGATATGAGATATTCTTGCTATGGTGTAGCTTGTTTGCAAAGGTATTATCGGGGGGAAAAAAAGCTGAGTATTTCGAGAGGCTTCGTTGGGCGTGCCCTCTCAGATATGAGGAAGGGTTGAGCATTTTTGCAGGTCTGCCTGTCCGTTGAGGATGGAGGTCGACATATATAGGAGTTTCCCTAACAACAAGTAGTAATGTTATTCCTTTACCCTGCTTGGTCATAGCACGATAGTGGGAGTTGCGAGCTTCACGTGTCAGAGCACTTTGAAAAAGTGGTATGTGGTATCTGGAAAACTGATGTTGCGTGTGAAGATTACAGACAAGCTTTATCCAAGGAGATCTGGCTCTTAAAGTTGAGAAAGCGGTGCCTCTTCGGTTTTCGTACAAGCAATCCTATCAGGGATCTGGCTCTCGAGATTCGGAGAACAGTGCCTCTTCGATTTTTGAGAGAGCAATCCTGCTAGGAGTCTGGCTCTCGAGATTCGGAGAGCGGTGTCTTTTCGATTTTTGAGAAAGTAATCATGCTGGGAGTCTGGCTCTCGAGATTCGGAGGACGGTGCCTCTTCGATTTTGGAGCAAGCAATCTTATTAGGAGTGTTTTCTCGAATGTGAGTAAAGGTTGGGCATGTTTGTTAGTCTACCTTGCCACGGAGCACAGAGGTTGACACACATGGACTTTCCAATTATCCAGCAGTGGTGCTGTTCCTTTACCTTTGTGGGTAATAATATGGTAGCTAGACCTTCAAAATTTATGTGTCTAAACTTTGTTAGTGCTGTTTCTATGCTATTCTTTTACCCTTCTTGTCATAGCGATGTAATGGGAGCTGCAAGCTTCACGTGTCTAAACTTTGTCAAAGATCTTTGGCAAAGTTATCTGTGGTACCCATGAGCTGATGGTGCGTGTGGAAAGTGGATGATTGAACAGTAAGATTCACGTGCTTTCTACTTCACCAGAAATCTTCAACAGAATGCCCGTAATTTCAGCAAAGCTAAGTGTGCATGTGACAGGTGCTGACAAGGCTGAAAAAAGCAGGTGCCTCTTCGATTTCTGAGATCGGCCCTCGTGGTCTCTGAGCAGCCCAGCTTTTGAGAAAGCAAGCGCCTCTTCAATTTCTGAGATTGGCCTTCGTGGTCTTTGAGTAGCCCAGCTTTTGAGAAACAAACGTTCGATTTCTGAGATCGGCCCTCGTGATCTCTGAGCAGCCCAACTTTTGAGAAAGCAAATGCCTCAACGTATTGTATTAAATACACCAAAGCCTTCTTCACTGAGTGGGGTCGGCTATATGAATCTTAGAACGTCATTGTGCTCGGTCCTGAGTGGGGTCGGCTATATGAATCTTAGAACGTCATTGTGCTCGGTCCTGTGTCATGTCCTCCGTTAGATCCAAATACTCTAAATCTTTTCTTAGAGTCTCTTCTAAAGTTTTCCTAGGTCTTCCTCTATTAACACTATATCGTCTGCGAAAAGCATACACCAAGGAATATCATCTTGAATATGTCCTGTTAACTTATCCATTACCAACGCAAAAAGGTAAGGACTTAAGGATGAGCCTTGATGTAATCCTACAGTTATGGGGAAGCTTTCGGTTTGTCCTTCATGAGTTCTTACGGCAGTCTTTGCTCCTTCATACATATCCTTTATAACTTGGATATATGCTACTCGTACTCTTTTCTTCTCTAAAATTCTCCAAAGAATGTCTCTTGGGACCCTATCATACGTTTTTTCCAAATCTATAAAGACCATGTATAAATCCTTTTTCCCATCTCTATATCTTTCCATCAATCTTCGTAAGAGATAGATTGCCTCCATGGTTGAGCACCCTGGCATGAACCCGAATTGGTTGTCCGAAACCCGTGTCTCTTGCCTCAATCTATGCTTAATGACTCTCTCCCAGAGCTTCATTGTATGACTCATTAGCTTAATACCCCTATAGTTCATGCAATTTTGTACGTCGCCCTTATTCTTGTAGATATGCACCAAAATGCTCTTTCGCCATTCATTTGGCATCTTCTTCGTTTTCAAAATCCTATTGAAAAGGTCAGTGAGCCATGCTATACCTATCTCTCCCAAGACTTTCCACACTTCGATCGGTATATCGTCTGGGTCCACTGCTTTTCTATGCTTCATCTTCTTCAAAGTTACAACCACTTCTTCCTTCCTGATTCGACGATAAAATGAGTAGTTTCTACACTCTTCTGAGTTACTTAACTCCCCTAAAGAAGTACTCCCTTCATGTCCTTCATTGAAAAGATTATGAAAATAACCTCTCCATCTGTCTTTGACCGCATTCTCTGTAGCAAGAACCTTTCCATCCTCATCCTTGATGCACCTCACTTGGTTTAGGTCCCTTGTCTTCTTTTCCCTTACTCTAGCTAGTTTATAGATATCCAACTCTCCTTCTTTGGTATCTAGTCGCTTATACATGTCGTCATAAGCCACTAACTTAGCTTCTCTCACAGCTTTCTTCGCCTCTTGCTTCGCTCTTCTATACCTTTCACCATTTTCATCGGTCCTGTCCTTGTATAAGGCTTTACAACATTCCTTCTTAGCCTTCACCTTTGTTTGTACCTCCTCATTCCACCACCAAAATTCCTTTTGGTGTGGAGCAAAGCCCTTGGACTCTCCTAATACCTCTTTTGCTACTTTTCGGATACAACTAACCATGGAATCCCACATTTGGCTAGCTTCCCCCTCTCTATCCCACCCACACTGGATGATTACTTTCTCTTTGAAAATGGCTTGTTTTTCTCCTTTTAGATTCCACCATCTAGTCCTTGGGCACTTCCAAGTCTTGTTTTTTTTTCTCACTCTTTTGATATTCTGTGAAACTATGAAAGAACAAAAAAGTGATTGAGGTGAAATCTAAGGTATACGAAAGATCTAAAGGAACAGCTAAATTATGTTTCTAATAAAGAAAAGAAACATTGTACATTGGACAAGGAAGACGTTTGTTTCGCACTGGTATTGATTCTTATCTCAGTCATGTCGTGGTCTGCTAGTACTGGTACCTGGTATCCATTCTTAGACCAAGTAATGTTGCCTTGCTTGTACCTGGCTGAGGCTGAGATATATTCTGTAAACAAGCATGAAAGATGGTTTTATTAATTTACTACAAACTAACCAACTTCAAAAAGAGTGGGAAGAAAGAAGATAAAGTTTGGGGAGATGGTGAAGAGCCAATCCAAGAGCATGACCGCGTATGCTTCCTCTTAAACATGGAAAATGCATAATTTTTGTAAAGTTCAAACATGCAACTAAGTAACAAATAAATTCAATCCAATTCCAATACCCACATTCCACGGTCACTCCATATTTAACAATAATAACCAGGACTGTCCCTCCAAAACATTACAAGTACAACATGATTGCTGATTCTCGTAAGAACACATAACTTACTGAAATAACAAATCAATTCAATTACACTCTCAGACTAGGATTAAAATATCAGACATATTTGTGTGTGTATGTGTGTTTATACTTTATATGCAATATTTTTTTGACAATAACGAGTGATAGTGTATTTATATGTATACATACATATATATATATATATATATGCACCTTTTTAGGTTTGTAAAAGAGAAGACTACAAAGAACAGGAACAAATCAAATTAATCGAGAACACAACACTAGAACGTAGTAAAAAAATTGAAGTAGAAAACTTAAACGTAAGGTCTTGCTATCAGGATGATCCCATTTTAGGAACAGGAATCTATGATGTCAAATAAGCTATACATCAAACATATGAAAAGGACGCCCTAGCTATACATTAAACAATAAGGAACCACAAAATGAGAAATCCCAACATCGAACACTAATTCTTCTTTACGATTTTGAAGGTACCTTTGTAGAGACCAAGAACAAAAAAGAACCGAAATAAGACGAATCAGAAGAGAGTAAAAAACAAAAACTAGAGGCATCATTTCCAAAAACGAAAACTTCAATTAGGAGCTACTGTTGCGTTTAGATATCCTGATTTATGGATTATACCGAAGAAAAAAAACCACAATTCATTCCCAAATAAACGAGTATATGCACTGTTTGTAAAGACACAGTGAAATTACCTAAACGCACCAGATGAATTTGGGCTTCGAATTGAATACGAGCTCCAACAAGGACAACTCGTAAACCTAAACGATTTCCTCCGTGCTGGGCGGCGACGACGTCCGTTGAGATTTTGGTGGATGGAGAAGGGGAGCAGCTGTTGCTGCTGCTTTACCAAGGACAAGGCGCGATTGGCGGGATTGGCGGGATTGTTGTGATGCCATAGTCCATGCGAGTCCTGCCAATTGTCGTCAATTGGTAGTCCTTACTCCACCAAACATCGGACACTATCCTGCCTAAACCATTCCCCAGTTAAAAAGAAGTTAAAAAACCAAGCTTTAAATTCTTTGTCCAACGTCACTTTACCGGTTTGGTAGTATTCCTCCTTATTTGTAAGTTAGAGATTTTAAATTTAATCCTCACCAAAAGTAAATTTGAACTACATTATTACTAGTTCATTGAGGCTTAACCCACTCCTCACCCCCTTTGAGCATCTCCGTAGAGTCCCTTACTAGGAATAACCACCGTATAAAATGAGTATAAAACAAATATAAAGACAAAATGAATTTTCAATGGATTGAAAAGTGAGTATCTAAAAATATAGAAACTCACTGCATACATAATGTATATACCCACATATAAGGACTATATAGGGACACAATCTAGAGTGGAAAATGGAATCCACAATCTTGATTGAAGCTTTTAATTAATTCAAAAAAAGTTAACAAAAAAATAAGTGCACCTAATCAAATTATCACATAAAATCATAAAAATTTTAAATTTAGGACTCTACTATAAAGATTCTCCTATTGAAGATAATATTCATTTAGGGACAAAAATTCTCTTTAAAGTCATCTCTAATGGAGATGGCTAAAAGGCCCGATTTGTTAAAAAACTCAACTTCAATTGAGGGCTAGGTCAATACAAGTGGAACCCATAAGGCCAAATGATAGTCTTTTAGCTATCGGGCTGGCTACTTCCACCCCCAAAAAAAAGAAAAAAAAATCAGGCTGCTTGTTGGGATCCAACTTGGCACCTCCAGCTCGCTACTATCAGCAGCAACAATTTTTTAACGTTAACTAGCCGTTGGAATTTATATTTTTTTCAAACAAAATTTAAAAACTCTATTTTTTCCTACAAATACCTATGGCACCCTTACATACTATCTTACTTTATTTTATTCTAATTTTTCAGATTCTATTCACCTTAAGCACTTTTTTCATACACACCCCTCTCTTAATGTCTAAGTAGTATTAAAATATTTAATAAAATATGTAACACCACCAACATGGAACTTAAACAATAGTAACCAATAAGTTAAAGAACAAACTTAACAATAATAAACTATTAAGGGACTATGCTTAAACCCTTTCCGTTAGAGATGATAGCATGATATTGTTCATTTAGAAACAATTTTTTGATAGGCTATAATTCTGGACAGTGCTAGAGTTCGCCCTTTCAGTTGGAGATGGGCGCCTAAGTCCTTGAATGAATACTCAAAGGTGGTGGTGATAGGAGACGATCTCAGTATAAATAATATCGTATGTTAAAAATAAAAAATTGTTTGTCAAACATATGGTTCCTTTTTTAACTCTTTCGTCTAGATTTCGCCCATTTGAAGTGCTTTGGTAAGTCTTTAATTGCTGAATTGTGAATCAAAATTGGGCTTGAATTTGAGAGAATTGTGGCGCAAGAGCATAAATATCTACACATTTTAGCTTTGTAAGGAAGAGGAATTAGTCCTTTATTATTACGGTCTAGTAGCATTTTTCTTAACTAGTAAGTGAGAAGTTCGAACTCCGCCTATGTAAGTTTATCTTACATTGCCGGTCCCAAGCTCGGATAAAGGAGGAGGGGAAGGGCGTCAGGTAGTCGACAGTCGGCACTCCACAGTTACGTCGAATCCTTATGACAATGAATCCAGAACGAAATCGCGCTAAAGCTAGGACGTCACCCATAAGTGGCGCGCTGTGTGGCCCGAGCACAGTGATAAGTGAGCAAGGGTCGCTGTATCTCCATCGGCACCCAGATGTAGTGTTAAATGAGCAAAGGGGCCATAGAAACTTCTTTTCGAACGACTCCACTCAAAGTTGTTTGGGAGCATATGCTCCTATCAACTTTACACAGGACACATAAAAGAAGTACTTTGATCATATTAGACGGGGGATGGTGAAGAATCTAGGACAGAAGGGTAGAGTTCAAGAGAGTAGAATGCGTTTAGGAACGTGGAATATAGGAACCTTAACGGGAAAATCTATGGAAGTAGTGGAAGTTATGGTGAGGAGAAGGATAAACATTATGTGCCTACAAGAAACTAAGTGGGTTGGTCTTAAGGCAAAGGATCTAGAAAACTCAGGGTTTAAGCTTTGGTATTCGGGCACAAATAGAACGAGAAACGGTGTTGGCATCATTGTGGACAAGACCTTGACACAAGATGTTGTAGATGTCAAAAGGGTAGGAGATAGAATCATGGCAATCAAGATTGTAATAGGACAAGAACTCATCAATGTGATTAGTGCGTACGCACCTCAAGTAGGGTTGGATACGAGTTCGAAGGAGAAATTTTGGGAAGACCTTGGAGACTTGGTGCAAGGAATTGCTCAGACGGAGAAGTTATTTATAGGAGGAGATTTAAATAGACACGTGGGCAGGGAGACAGGCAACTATGGAGGTTTTCATGGTGGCCATGGTTTTGGGGAGAGAAATGAGGATGGGGAAGCTATCTTGGATTTTGCAATGGCATATGATCTCTTCTTAGCCAACACATTCTTTAAGAAGAGAGAAGAACATGTGATCACCTACAAGAGTGAGTCGTCAAAAACACAAATAGATTTTCTTCTAATGAGGAAAGGGGATCGTATAACTTGTAAGGATTGCAAAGTTATACCGGGGAGAGCTTGGCTAATCAACATCGCTTGTTGGTGATGGATGTACATATCAAAAGAGTGAGAAAAAAGAACAAGACTTGGAAGTGCCCAAAGACTAGATGGTGGAATCTAAAAGGAGAAAAACAAGTCATTTTCAAAGAGTAAGTAATCACCCAGTGTGTGTGGGATAGAGATGGGGAAGCTAGCCAAATGTGGGATTCCATGGCTAGCTGTATCCGAAAAGTAGCAAAAGAGGTATTAGGAGAGTCCAAGGGCTTTGCTCCATACCAAAAGGAATCTTGGTGGTGGAATGAGGAGGTACAAACAAAGGTGAAGGCTAAGAAGGAATGTTGTAAAGCCTTATACAAGGATAGGACCGATGAAAATGGTGAAAGGTATAGAAGAGCGAAGCAAGAGGCGAAGAAAGCTGTGAGAGAAGCTAAGTTAGCGGCTTATGACGATATGTATAAGCGACTAGATACCAAAGAAGGAGAGTTGGATATCTATAAACTAGCTAGAGCAAGGGAAAAGAAGACAAGGGACCTAAACCAAGTGAGGTGCATCAAGGATGAGGATGGAAAGGTTCTTGCTACAGAGAACGCGGTTAAAGACAGATGGAGAGGTTATTTTCATAATCTTTTCAATGAAGGACATGAAAGGAGTACTCCTTTAGGGGAGTTGAGTAACTCAGAAGAGTGTAGAAACTACTCATTTTATCGTCGAATCAGGAAGGAAGAAGTGGTTGTAGCTTTGAAGAAGATGAAGCATAGAAAAGCAGTGGGCCGAGACGATATACCGATTGAAGTGTGGAAAGCCTTGGGAGAGACAGGTATAGCATGGCTCACTGACCTTTTCAATAGGATTTTGAAAACGAAGAAGATGCCAAATGAGTGGCGAAAGAGCACCTTTGGTGCCTATTTACAAGAATAAGGGCGACGTACAAAATTGCATGAACTATAGGGGTATTAAGCTAATGAGTCATACAATGAAGCTCTGGGAGAGAGTCATTGAGCATAGATTGAGGCAAGAGACACGGGTTTCGGACAACCAATTCGGGTTCATGCCATGGGCGCTCAACCATGGAGGCAATCTATCTCTTAATAAAGATTGATGGAAAGATATAGAGATGGGAAAAAGGATTTACACATGGTCTTTATAGATTTGGAAAAAGCGTATGATAGGGTCCCAAGAGACATTCTTTGGAGGATTTTAGAGAAGAAATGGAGTACGAGTAGCATATATCCATCCAAGCTATAAAGGAAATGTATGAAGGAGCAAAGACTGCCGTAAGAACTCATGAAGGACAAACCGAAAGCTTTCCCCATAACTGTAGGATTACATCAAGGCTCATCCTTAAGTCCTTACCTTTTTGCGTTGGTAATAGGATGAGTTAACAGGACATATTCAAGATGATATTCCTTTGGTGTATGCTTTTCGCAGACGATATAGTGTTGATAGATGAAACTCAGGAAGGGGTAAATGCGAAAGCTTAACCTTTGGAGAGAAGTGTTGGAATCTAAAGGTCTTCGTCCTAAGCCGATCAAAGACAGAAATATATGGAGTGCAAGTTCAGTGCAAATGGAGGCCAAAATGAGTTAGGGGTGAGGATCAGGAGATCAGGAAATACCAAAGAGCGACCGTTTTCGCTTACCTAGGATCTATCTTGCAAAAGAACGGAGAATTAGATGGAGATCTCTCAACCATAGAATACAAGCTGGATGGATGAAGTGGAAGAGTGCATCCGACGTGTTGTGTGATCGTCCGTATGCCACTGAAGCTCAAGGGAAAATTTTATAGGACGGCAATAAGGCCGGCGATGCTGTATGGCACAGAATGTTGGGCGGTGAAGCACCAACACGTACACAAAAATGGGTGTAGCGGAGATGAGGATGCTTCGTTGGATGTGTGGGCACACGAGAAATGGATAAGATTAGGAATGAGAATATCCAAGGGTAAAGTAGGAGTAGCCGAAATTGAAGGAAAACTGAGAGAAAATCGGTTACGGTGGTTTGGACATGTGCAAAGAAGGCCTACTGACACTCCTCCGATTAGAAGATGCGACTACAGGACAGAGGTTCAGGGCCGAAGGGGTAGAGGAAGACCTAGGAAAACTTTGGAAGAGACTCTAAGAAAAGACTTAGAGTACTTGGATCTAACGGAGGACATGACACAGGATCGAGCACAATGGCGTTCTAAGATTCATATAGCCGATCCCACTCAGTGACTTGGATTTTCCAAGTCTCCAACGAGAAGTTTTCCCACTCGAGAAATTAAGGGAACACTACCTCAACCTACATGCTCCACTTCACAAAGCTTCAACATACAAGCTTCAACAAAAGAAAAATTCAAAGAACTTAGTGAAGAAGGCTTTGGTGTATTTAACACAATACGTTGAAATGAAGGAAAAGCTTATTTATTGATATCTCCCGATAAGAAGTTACAAATATGTACATA